AGAAAACGTCCAGACAGATTTTTCGCGGCCTGTTTAATCCAATTACGATATATAATGGAAACTGCAGGTTATCATAGCGAAAAAAAAGAGTGTGCGAGCGCGAGGGAAAAAAAACTAATTTTCTTAATCCCTGGCGTTTCTTTTATCTCGAAAAGTTTAGCGTTTTAATTTCAAATTAGCGCGAAGCCAAAGAAGTAGAATGAAGGGGGCAGATGAAAAAAATAAAAACGAACATTATGAAATTATATAACCGTGGACGAGCGGCGCCGCAGATTTCCGGCGTCCAATTAATAAATCATCGGGGTTAATCCGCAGCGCGGGGATCGATCCTCGGGGGTGGTGGATGTAACACGAAAAAAATTAAATAAATAATAAAAAAATAAAATAAAAATTGAAATTCTGCTCTGGCGCGAGAAACAATTAATAACTGAAGATAAAATTGTTCGTGCATTAATGATCGTAATTACACGCGGGAGGGTAGTTAAAGAAAGCATTATGCAATAAATTCACCTGGCCGCGAATTTCCAGTGATTTATGCGGTCGATGAGTTATGTGCACAGCGGGCACAACGGATGAGGTAGTATTTTAATTCAATTTAATGTTCTCCAAGTATGCAGTGGATCAAGGGAGAGGAAAATACTGCAACCACACAGAGTATATGGGCCCTTTTATCAATTTATCCGCGCGCTTTGTGGTCTCCCTTCAAAAAGCGAGCAATCCAGTTAAACGTTTAAGGTGTTCGCTTTTCAGCCTCAAGTTTGATTGAGGGTTATTTTCGAAACACACAATCCAGTGCATCGTTGTTACGTCGAACGGCATTCTCTTTATCCTCGCCCATTTCGTCCCGATTCGTTTTATTTCTCATTTCTTCCATTCCAGTCTATTTTAAGAAATAAACGAAAACCCACCAATTATATTATTTACTCGGTTAATCTGCTCTGATAATCCGGGGTTGAATCCCAACTCCCCCATTGTATCCAACTATACGACAGTATATAAACAGAGCAGCATCGAAACGAAACCGCATTCGAAATTAAACCGAACTTGCTGGGAAGGGTAAATTTAAATATCAGCTTCGGCCTTCTCATCTCCGCCGGCACCCCAGTTTCTTGATGATCCGCTCGATGAGTTTCCACTGTCTGAAGGCCGTTATTAGCTACAGCTTTAATAATGTATGCTTGGCGATGTTGTTATTCGCTAAATTAATTTTAAACAAAAATGGAATAACAGAGGAATTTTAATCAGTTATTTGAAATTAAATGATTCTAATTACGTTATTTACAACCCTTTGTCGTCTGACTTATAAGTACCATCACATTCACGTCACTATTTAAATTATAAAAATTATAAATTTGTAAAAATGATTTGTTTATGACTTTATATTATAAAAATTATTTGTTTTGCAATTGGAAGCACCAAGTTATTACACATCTATATTCAAGTAATACTTGTCTCTTTTATTTATGTTATTTTTTATATGTTGTAACGAAAAGAAAAATTGTATAGCAGAATAACATGACATAAGTTTATAATAAAATTTATAAATATATACGTGAAAATTAATGCGTTTTTGTAATCTAAATCAATATAAGTCACTTATTAATTTATTAATTTAATTAATTTAAGCTTAAATGCATGACTTTACCAAAAAGTACTACATATCTTTTTCATCGCAAAAAGTGAATAAAAGTTAAAAATAAAAAGTTTGCTAACTTGAAATTTAGTTCGTTGTGTAATTCTTAAACCGGACTATAGTAAATTCGGACTAATCGAAGTCACATATACTCATTCATATCTTTACCATACGACTATTATTTTTCAAAAATTAGTAAATTTATTTATCGAATTACCTATATTTTCTTGTTGTTATCTTCGTCCTGACGTAAGTTATACAAATTCATCTTCAAAAGTTCAGTAAAGTTTGTCCAGTAAAATTTATATAAAATAATACAGTGATTCTATACAATTTGCTACGTGCGTTAATTGACATGTGTCATTTGTAAGGTTGCTACGCATTCCATATTTATATGTTGCAACTGCTGAAAAGCATGGCTGACTACAGAAATTATATGAATCAGTTTCATTATGTTCATGGTACAAATATGTTAAATTTCATTTTATTTCTAAACCAGAATTATACACAGTAATACTTCGCATAGTGCGGTTTCGATCAGTCCGGATTCACAGTTTAAAAATTTCAAGAATTTGTAATAGTTAGACTTCATTTAGACTTCATTTGTTATTATTTGAATGAAACAATAACTTTTTATATAAAATATACTTCAATTAATTAAAATATATTTAATATTAAATATTTCTTGATTGTATTTAGTTTCTACTAATTCAATACAAATATTTAGTGCCTTATGATATAATTCATTTCTGAGCAGATTTCTAATTATGTAATATGTAATAATTTAGTTTTATTTTTATTTTGGTAAAAAATATACAACTTCAGTAATTTCTCAATACATATAAAATCTAAATTATTAATTATGATATAATTAAGAAAAAATTGCTATAAAATACGTAATTAAAATAATACATTTTTTTTTTCGAAATTACACTGCCTTAATGAATTGAGACATAATGTTACGTAACCTAAATCTGGTGTCGGTTCTGTAATTACCACGGACAAGACGGATGCGTTTGTCGCTTTGAAACTTTCCCTCCCGACGCACAGAAAGTGAAGAAGAAAAAAAAAACGGCGAAACAAACTTGCGGACGAAGTAATAATTAAGACACACGTTTATCCCCGCAGACCACCAGCTAAATCTAATTTATTTACAAAAACATGACCCTAATTTATCGCTTCGTTGATACTTTTTCATTATTTAATCGTGCACATATTATTTACATTCAACTCTGTTGAACTTTAGTTGTTTAAATTTTCCAATTTAGTTTCAATCAATATTGGTTTATACAAATAAACGACAATTATTATTTTTTTACAATTTGCATGTATATTGGATATCAAAAATGTATACTACACGTATTGGCATATACACGTATCTATCTAGCGGATCTTTGACAGGATGAAATCTAATACATATATGCAAAGGAATAACATCAAAAGGATGTGTGTGTGTCATCATGTCGCGTTGTAAAAGGGTACGAAGCCGCAGTGAGATATTTTATTACGTTTGCCGATGAATAAATAATTATTACTTTCGTATATGCAAAATTGGAAATATATTCCAATAATAAAAACACTCAATTTGTTTTTAGTGCGACGTTATTAAAATCATATTCGCATATGTACAGATATTTTCAATTCAGTTTTATTTTTGTCTATAGAAAATTAATATTGTGATATTGCAATGAAAAAGAAATTGTAATAAAATATTTGAAATAATTATGATTCATGAAAATTTACAACGTATAAATTAGTAACTTAAATCTTTTTAATTATTACCAGTTGACTTGATGTTTCATAAAAGTTAAGCAATATTTGGTGAAGACGCGGATAGATGAATGATCAGGATGATCTATTTATTAGAATACAGTTAATTTATATGGTAATTATATAGAAATAATTACGCAATATTATTTTGTATATAACTTTTAAAAATATTGCATTACATGGCAAAAAAATGAATATTAATATCATCAATTATTGCATAATTCCCTATGTCAATAGGTGTTAATTACTTTTTTTTGTCCTTATTATATAATTATTACCTGATGAATAAATAGCACCATAAAAATTGTTCTTTCTTTCTTTTTTTTCGTAATAAATTTTATAATTGAAATTTGTAATTAAATGAGCTTTAAGTTGGAAACCTCAATTTCATTGTAGATTTAGATAAGCCAACAAAACGCCTACGCTCCGGCTCGATTACGCAATTAAATTCGCGTGTTTATATAAGAATGTTTGTTGAAACTTATCCGTGTCGCATACGGTAAACACATAAATCTGGATTCGCTCGAATTTCCATATATTTTCATTTCACCGTAAAAGTTCATATATAGATGTCAGAGAGAGAATCCAAAAAGTTTGAAAGAATACAAAAGGAATATCGAATAATAATTAGGTTTTTGAAAACTGTCGGAAAACGCAATTGTCATAAAAGTGGATTATTCATTTAAGTATGAAATGGGAATTTTTAATTCGAATGCAAATTGCTTTCGTCCGGGGTTGATAGAGGTCCAAGTCATTTTTGCAATTCTAAGTGGATTCGTTTTATTATTTCCTACTGTTATTTTCTTTGCACTATTTCTGGTGCATTGTCGGCGAATGTCGGAGATGCACGCCAGGAGATAAAGCGGGGCGACGTTATGCGAAAATGATGTTTTTAATTATGCGGATTGGAGCGCTCCGACGTACTTCTGTGTCGCGCGGGCTTCAGGGGTTGAAAAAGGGCGGTTTTCAGAGGGACGATTACTGTCAACTCGTAAATACGACTCGTGTTATTAAAGCAAAAACTGCCGTGCTAAATAATTACAATGAGCAAACTTGTTTTACTAATTGTTTGCAACACCTACAAACGTTGCCTACGCTCGCTCGAAAACCATGATCCCAACTTTCTTATTCGCTTTGTGGCGCTTTTATTTGTACCGTCCCTTTATACCGCGTTTGTGTGTATGCCGGTTACCAAGGGCAGAAGGATGAAATGATAGCAACAACAGCAGAGAGAGAGAGAAATAAAAAGCGAACTAAAAACTGCGGAAAAGCGCACGTAGATTGCGGCCGCTGCAGCTGGAAAACATGAAAAGGATACTCTTCTTTCTCATCGCCGTCATCATCATCATCATCTTTCGAAATACATCCAAACATCGGGGGCTTTGTACTTTCTATAATTCGCGTGGATGCATATGAAAATTAAAAACGAAAACAAAAAGGGACTGGATTGAAAAAATAAAAGGAGCAAAATGAAAAAGAAAAAAGAAGCTTCGTCGGTGGGAGTGAAAGAAGGATTCCTTTCATGTTATCCGCGATAGGGCGTATATGAACTTTACATTAATTAAGTTTCACCCGTTCTTTCTTTTGTGTGTTTCAGGTGATATTTTCCGGGCGGGCGGCGGCCGACCGATACGATACGGCCCAGACACGCATTATCGAAAGGTCAGTTATTTATTGCTGCGTCCATAATTAACGGACAATAATATCTATCCACTCCTAGATTGCCGCACGATTTATGCAATGCCATTAAATATTTCTCACAGTAATATTGATTAAACAAAACTGCTGCAATCCATTCTGTCATTTGCGTTCACTATACATTCACATACATCCATCCACATATATATATTTATATTAAATTGAGGCTTTCCGCGTTCGCGGTGGATGCGTCGGGACCATAAAATATTTTATTCTCGCGAATCCGAATGCAATTTTTATACTTTTCCTACTTACCAAACCTACTGCATACATTCACAATCCATTTTTTTTTTGGTTTAGTTGTTTGTTAGTTTTTCCCGTCTGTCTCTACACAGTTTTTTTCTCTACATATTCAAAAATATTTGTATAGAGCTTATTTTACCTTTGATACAAGTACAGCTAACGATCATTTGCAGTTTTTTCAATCAAAATTACTTACAAATATACATAATATACCAATCATACAGTGAGTAATTGTGTATTTAACTTTTGGTCCATTTCGGAACAAACAAGTCAAATTGAAATAAATATTTAATCTATTTGATTGATGAAGACAAGATTTTGAAAGAAGAAACATGCGTTGATTAAAAAAAATCGAATATTATTGAAACATAAATATTCAATGTAAAATTAATTCTGAAAAATATTATATAATGTATTTATTATTAACACTTCACTAAATTCGCAATATTCACTTCATGATGTTGAAATTATGAACGAAATAATTCAAGCCTTAGTTATTACTTGAAATATTTATAAGAAATATAAAAAATAGGCTTATTATAATACGAACGACAAAGATTATTATTGTAATTCTATTCATATTCAACGCGACGTGTTATATAAATAATGAACTAAATTCTACACAGACTAAAGATACACAACACTTTCGACCTCCCCTTTACAAAATAAAAGTTAGTTTTATTGTTTAAATTTTCATAGTGCCGTCAAAATCAATTTTTATTTGGGTTGTTATTGTTCGAGTTATTTCTTTTAGTTAAATTTATAATTGTTTATAGGAAGATTTCCGATGGAAAATCGTTCCGCTCCAAGTTTTTATTTTGTTTTCTTTTTTTTTCTGTCTGACAAAAACATTCAACTTATAGCCCGAGATGGCAGGTTGTGAATGAACAATAAAAGTTTAAAAAAATATGATAATTAATGAATTAAGTTAAAGAAAACTTTATAAATAAAAGAGCAATTTTCTAATATTAATATTGATCATGCATTGACTCTATATGAGTAATTTGGTGTGCATTATTCATTTATAAGATATAATAAAAATAAGTGAAAAATTATAGTAATCATTAGTGTAGACAATTTTATGAAATGAAATATCTTCTTTACTGATCTCCGCATTAATTTACTGGTAAAATTCTGTATATAAACAAATAACATCATTCTCTGTTTCCTGATTAAATTGTTCTGAACATTGTTGAAATTATGAACGAAATAATTGAAGGCTTAGTTATTACTTGAAGTATTTATGAGAAATATACAAAATAGACTTATTATAATACGAACAACAAAGATTATTATTGTAATTCCATTCATGTTAAACGCTGCGTGTTTATATAACAGCAATTAAGGAAGTTGGAGATGAAAACCCTATAGATAGATAGAAAAAAATATATATAACAGAAAGAATCAAACATGTACTGGAATATCTTCGGAAGGATGATAAGCTTGCGCATCCGTTGAAGGATTCTAATTAGTGTAAAGTTCAAGACTTCGCACAATGAGAATGCGGCCGCGCGAATTCCATGCAGTTGGGGGGAAATGTAAACAGTTTGTTTTGTTGGGCTGCATTGTGTAACTCCGGTGACCCACAGCTCTATTTCATTAGATCCAACTTCGGCTGAAATGAAATACGCTCGGCCCCGTGTAAAGCAGCAGAGAGAGAGAGAAAAAAAAAGAAGATGTATATATATACACACATAGAATTTTCTCCCGCTCTCTTTGTTTTGTTTCCACGTGTATTTGTTGTATTCATCCGACACGGTTTTACAATAACTCCGAACAACTACAGTTTGTTGTATTTTAAGTTCGGAACTACGCTACAGCAGTTATCATTTCAGTGGAAGATCAGCAAAATAAAAGAAAAATACAAGCTTAGTATAGACGTGCAAAAACAAAAATTTACAATATATATATAAAAAAATGTATGTTACTGAATTATTACATTATGTAAAAAATATATAATACAAAATACTAGAATCTGTATTTGTTTGAAATTGAAACAAAGTGTAACAATTTTCCAATTTCAATATCCAAATTAGGTATGAAAGATGTAAAACGAATACAATTTCGGTTTTCAAGCAGAATTTTGTATACGAACCTTTCATTCTTTGACAAATTAATAAAACTGTTAGTAAACTAGAACGAATTATAGCTATAGTTTTTCATATTTATTTTCCGAACAAAACAAAAACTTGTAATCCCGCTCTGTCCACGTATTTATCCCTGTTACAGCACACACGCAATTTTAAGTTGGAAATAATATCATCACCGAAATTTTATTTATCACCCAGGTTGCACCGCTGCACATCGAAAAACCTGCTGCGAATATCCAGAATCCGTTCGTCCGTTTTCAGTTTATATTTTTTTTATATATTTTATTTATTTGTTTCAGAATCCCATTGTACTTTTTTTGTTTACTCATAACTCGTATTTTTTGTTACGTAAATTGCTGTTTTCAATCTAATTGATGCGATAAATATAGAGGTTTTATGCATTTATTGTGAACGTTAATGCCGGAACATCGAGCCATAAATGCGCTATTAACGATGTTAATTACTGTACAGTACAAATAAAAAATGAGTATCTAAAAACTAATATATAAACTATAACTAATCATTGATTTTTCATTTGATCTATATCAGAATTTGCGCTAGAAGAGTCTTAACATAAATATAAAATTATTATAAATGTTTTCGCAGTTTTTCGCCATAATTAAAAATATTTAACTAAATATATTTCTATTTTTCGAAAAGAAAGTATAGATTCTACGAGGTATCACTGTACTTATAATCACATTGTATTACTATCTCATTTGATACTTTCATAATCGCGAGGTGGACTTTGTGAAATTATCACAAATTCGCATATGCCATTAACATTAATTACGTATAAATTACTGTCATTTAACCTAATTTGTGTAATTAGAATGCAATCTGCAGCACAATTAATTTCATATAGTAAATCTGAATAATTTTGATGAAAACTATTTTCATCTGATATAAATAATGAACTAAATTCCAAAAAAAAGTATGATAATTAATGAATTAAGTTAAAGAAAACTTTAGAAATAAAAGTGCAATTTACTAATATTAATATTGATCGTGCATTGACTCTATATGAGTAATTTGATGTGCATTATTCATTTATAAGATATAATAAAAAAAATCATTAGTGTAGACAATTTACAGGTAAAATTCTGTATATAAACCAATATAAACTATATTTCCTGATTAAATTGTTCCGAGCATTACTATTGTATTGATTTAATCTCATACATTATTTTAAATATGTTCGCTATATGATAATTAACAAACGGTAATTAATAAATGAATTCATGAAATAATTCTTACTATTTATTTCATCAGTATTTTTAAAGCACTTATGTAATTAAGGAAATGTTTAAATTTACAAGAAATAAGTTATTTTTAGGAAATAAATAAAATAATTTAAAATGTCTGGTTAATGTTGCATGCTTATAATTGGCTTTAAAGACGATTTAAAGACAATTCGAATGATCACCGAAAATAGAATAATTAACATTCCTCCGTGTCCTGTAGTCATTAGTAACGTAACATTCGAAGAAGTGATCATCAATCACGCACGACTAGTTTCAATTCCAATTAAAGGAAACGGTCTAATCATCATAACTTCAGATTAATTCCCTTCGAGATGCAACTGAATGTTTCATGACTTGTGCGGTGAAGGGTGTAGCTTGCTTGCAAACATGGGGCGAGAGGCCGTGCGGTAAAACTACCGACCGCAATCTGGCCTTCGCCTGAACCCCATATAAATATCTTACACGGCGGCGTTTGACGGTAAAATTTTAATTAGTCGTCCACCGCCTCCGTCGCTGAAATATGAAACGCGGTATCAGTTAGAGGAGCGTCGGCTACAGAACGGGCAGGGGCTTCATTATTAAGAAAAAGGAGATGCCTAATTGTGGCTAAAATTACTCGTAAACTTGGAAAATAAAGCTCTCCCACAGCGACGCAACTCGGGTCTGCGTGTTTTCCTCTAGCAAATTGGTAATATCCACACAATATACAGAAACTAATTGCATATTGCTAATTAATGTCGTATTTTATACATTATTCATCTATATGATTTGTATATATTTTATGAAATACGACCACCCAAATATATAAAAATAAATTTTACTTTATTTATCATTATCCTGTTACTTCTACTTTTCAATATTTTCTTCTTCATTATCCTTGTCTGAGAACTCATGTGTGTTGGTATGTATAAAAATATGTTTCATAACGTAAGTTCAACGTATTACGAACACTTTTCCAATTACTTTGATATTGATGTTCATTATATTAGAGATTCGTTATCAGAGGTATAACTGTATTTAATAATTTATTAGCAAAAATATTAGTTTTAATTCAATGCAATCTTATTAACAGTGTTTTTATGATATTGACCGGTTTTGGTAGGTAAGTTAGATTACATATTTTCTCCGAAAAACTAAAATATTCAAAGATTTAAATACTGAAAAAATTATTCTATGAATATTTTAGGAAAAATCGTATTAGATAATAGCGATGTGATAATCTTATCTTTGGGAAATTGTATTTCACAGTTCGAAATATTCAATTTGACTCCCCTTTGTACCTTTATTTCTATAGTTTAACAAGAAATAACAAAATATTGGACATGAATTTTTTCTTAAATAATAATCTAATATTTTTTTTTATAAATATAAGAAATATAACAAAAAT